TATGAGTAATGAGAGACAGGTTAGAGCAGTGTTTGTTATCCTAAGGGGGGGGGGGGGGCAGTAATTTTCGAGGGGGGCACTTGTTACTCTCTCAGCAAGAGCATGGTCAAACAATAAGTTCGGGGGAAATGCAAAAGGAGCTGTCTTATAACTGTTTTAGTTTTCTGGAGTTACTATCTTGGCGCCACTTTCCACATTTTGTACTTATTGAACCCCCTCCACATCCTTCGAAACCCTTAGGAGGGGAGGTTTTACCCCCTGAGATATTGGTGACTAGTGATCCCCGGTCTCTCCCAGTCTTCAACACCTGTCCTATGGCAATAACTGCTCTTCTATTACACTGATTCAGTTGAGGTTATTATTTTTTTCAAAATCTCAGTGTTATATTTACCTGAAAATAGTAATCAGCCTTAGTTTATTGATTATACACACGCCCAGTTTTATGCAAGTTTTTAATAATGTAATTAATATATACTCGATAGAATGACCAAGAACATCTTAAAATTTCTGTTAAAATTCGGGAAGTGATTTTATTCATAATGTAAGGGGACATGGAGAGGTTAGGCCGTCCGTCACAAGGTCGAGACCGCTGTAACCGCCTGACTACATTGTACCTTCCGATTTCCTTACTGCATTGTAACCACCCATACTCAAAGAGTTTTACAATATAGTTGGCACATTGTAAGGCCTGTGTTAACATTGTTTACAAGTTAATTCCACTGACTACCAAGAGAGGGCAAATCGTTAGTCGATTGACCAATTACCAGTCAGCCCGCTAGATGTAACAATGGAAAGCCATGGATCTCAACTGTCTTATTGCCACGCCTTCAACGGTCACCAACACTACGGAAGGCTAACGTGTTTCAACTGGTGCTGACTCGGCTGAGCTTGGCCCTTACCCATCGTGGTGCCCAGTCTCAGCAGTAACCTCCAGGCGACAATTGCAACTTCACGCGCCTGGGCGGGGTGCGAACCGCTGAACCGCCGACCCCTCGGATGAGAGGCCGACACATTACCCACTGTACTAGCCCGGAGACTTGAATTCTCACATTTCTTTCGGAAGCATCTCGCAAAAATTATAATTTTCCTGCGAAGATAAATCAGTGTAGACACACCACACACACACACACACACCACACACACACACACACACACACACACACACACACCACACACACCACACACACACACGTATACAGATATAGATATATAAATTTAAATTTATGTATATATTATATAAACTTATATATATCTACACTGGCCAACATATATAAAGGCACGCGGGTCCAATTACTCAAAATTGCGTTCCTTAAATGTTTTGTTAATTTAAATTTCCATTTATAGCACAAACATCGATACGTTTACGTTAATGCACTCTATCTAACGATTGTTATGCATTAAAAGTGGATATATCGGAACTTATGTTACAGATGAAAATATAGATTATGTAATAAATACAATTTCTGGCCTTGGTCCGAGACTACGTTTGGACGCATCTACACTCTTATATGGATATTCATATATATTAAGAGCAAAATAAAACTTCTGAATGCATATGGGGATGAGAATAATTGATATATGGTAATCACTGTAATTTATGAAATCTGTAATATAACAGCAAAAAACTATTTGGAAGCTATCAGGCAGACCTCCCGAAATGGTGGACATTATTCTTTAAAAACTATATATATATATTTTTTAGCACCATAATAAGAGCAGCATATATCTTAAAAAGCATTCAAAACTATTTTTGATATAATGCTCGCGTTCAAATGAATATATTCTAAATTATCCTTTTGCGGAACTTGGTGCGGGGTGCTCCAAGCTGCCCCGCAATTGTTCCAATACTATGCGGAGGACCCGCGGGGCGAGCAACACCCGCAAAACATTAATGACACCGAAAAGTGCGGGGGGAGCTGGCTTTGGGGAAAGCCCACCCCACGAGTACGTTTAATAATACGGCCTATTGTCTCTAGAGCATCTCGCAATATCTGCTTGGCATTTTTGCGACACTGACCCGCGTTGACTCCAAGCAGCAGAGAGGAATTGGGGGAAACAACAGCCGAGGGCAAACCAGTAGACAATTATACAGCATGTATGTGCTATTAAATATACAAGAATATGCATATATACAATCATACAGAGATGCATGTATATATACATATATTTTCATACATACACAGATAATATATATAATATATCATATATGTATGTATATATATATATATATATATATATATATATATATATATATATATATATATGTATATATATATATATATATATATATATATATATATATATATATATATATATATATATATACGTACACAGACACACACAGACACACACACACATACATATTCATGTATATATATATGCGTGGTGTATACATGTATCCATAAATCAATCTATCAGATAATTTATCAGTTAATCTATCGGTCAATCTATCGGTCAATGTATCAGTCAGTCTATCAGTCGATCTATCAATCAATCCATCAGTCAATCTATCAATCACTATCAATCTATCAGTCAGTCGATCAATCTATCAATCAGTCTATCAATCTACCATTCAATTTATCAGTTAATTTATCAGTTAATTTATCAGTCAGTTTATCAGTCAATCTGTCAATCAATCTATCAATCAGTTTATCAGCCAATCTATCAGTGGATCTATCATTCAATCTATCAGTCAATTTATCTATCAATCAATCCAGCTATCAGTTAAGCTACCTAATCAGTCAATCATTCAATCTATCAATCATTGTATCAATCAGTCTATCAATCAAGCTATCAATCAATCTATCAGTCAATCTATCAGTCAATCTATCAATCAATTTTTCAGTCATTCTATCAATCTATCAATCAATCCAGCTATCAGTTAATCTATCAATCAATCTATCAGTCAATTTATCAGTCAGTCTATCAGTCGATCTATCAATCTATCGGTCAATTTATCAATCTATCAATCAATCCAGCTATCAGTTAATCTATCGGTCAATCTATTAATCAGTCTATCAGTCAATCTATCAATCTGTCTATCAGTCATTCTGTCAGTCAATCTATCAGTCATTCTGTCAGTCAATCTATCAGTCATTCTGTCAGTCAATCTATCAGTCATTCTGTCAGTCAATCTATCAGTTAATCTATCAGACAACCTATCAGTCAGTCTATCAGTCAATCTATCAGTCATTCTGTCAGTCAATCTATCAGTCATTCTGTCAGTCAATCTATCAGTCATTCTGTCCGTCAATCATTCAGTCAGTCTATA